TGAAAAAAAAATAGGGGAGGTAGTTCTGACCGCAGGGGGGTGAAGTTTCAGGTATGATTTCCATATCAGAATTAGTCCCCCTAGAAATAAAAATTGACGTGTTCTTTGTAATTTTCGAGTACACGTCCGTTGCTGACTTACAGGGGGGTTTCTGGTTTTTGTTGGAACGCTCTGTATAGAAAGTTATTTGTGACGAATGTTCCAAATGGAAGATGTTGCACAGGTGCCTGATGGCTTTACTTCAGCTTTCTGCGCGGCATTAGCTGGGTAAGTTGTTGTTTTTCCGTCAGGAAAACTCCATCAATTTTGGGATTAGTTCAATATACTTCGTAGCCACCTGTCGGAAATAGCCTGAACTTTTCATCTATCATATTAAAAACTCACTCATATGGACGCAGAACCACCTTCATGTAAAGACGCAGAAAAGACTGTCAGATGTACTACCTGTGCTGAAAAGTCTCGAGCCCCATAGATAGCGCTAATTCTATTGCATTCACCATTTTTTCAGTTAGTACTAACCTTCAAAAGAAACTGTTGAAATTTCATGATATTGAGTTATTGTGCTAAGAATGACACTACTTTGCAGACAATCTAGCTAGGGAAATTGATACAATTACACAGATAGGTCATAATAATGGTTTCAACGCAGATACTATCCAGAAGTTAGTCAGGAAACAAAGCCGGAAATTCACTTACAGATTAATATATCCTTAGGTCAAACAACCAGAAATCAAGAAATGGATAACGCTAACATATTTTGGAAAAAACATATACGGTACTATGTATCTAACAATTGGAAGGTAAATAAAATCGAAATGTATATAAATCATCCCTTCTAATTCTGACCAAGCATAAAAAAGAGGTTTTGCGCTATTGATTTTGGTAAAACCAGTTTCAGAATGCTCAAAAAGTATTGTCACTTTTTTATAATTTCGGACGAAATTATTTCATTAAACAGACTATACATTTTTTATTATTGAACTGAAATAACAACAAATTATGAAACACAAATGTATGGAAACGAAGTGAGTGACACTTCATTTAGTTTGAACACTTTAAATTTGCCGCGTAATAACTTCAACATATAATTTATCTGTGAACTGGTTGGAATCTATGGATCTGTGAGTAACATGCCTCCTTGGGATAAATATGTAGGTTATGTTAAAGATTATATTGTACTTTGAACATTTTGTTATTAGGATCTGGTGAAGCGATAGCTTTAAATGTTGTTTTTCTCTTCAGGTGAGTTTGTGATTAATTAATGTTGAAGAATGTTTTGGTAAAAGTGTAATAACTTGTTTATGTGATAAAATCCTCCACTCTTAACAGCAACTCAATTTTGGTTATATTTTCACTGTTCCCCAGGATATCGAAAGATAAATATCAAACACATTATAAAACAACATTTCTACAGCTGGTTTCCAGGAATAATTAAAAAAATTATATTTGAGTCCATGGTCAAAGCCAGTGAAGATGTGAAAACAAATATTATTTGTGTAACGGCAATCAAGGATTTAAATGACCGGACTGTTGCGATCCCAGATAAATTGCAACCTGTAAGACTACATGATGCAATAGTTCAGACCAAAATCTTTCAGGGAGTAAAGACTACATTACAAATACGGCATGAGAAAAAACAGGTGTGGATATCTATGAACAAGGAGATGAAGGCAGTTTATAGTGATGAAGGAAATATACAATTTATGGAATGCCTTTTAGAGGAACAAACAAAACCACAAACTTCTGCAACAGGAATTTCAGATCATAGAAAGCTGCGCTGAAATGAACAATAATTCATTAAAACCTTTTATCATGAGAAGAATGGCAGAAAAATTTGTTATAGAAAAATGTAATATCAAGATTACTAATGTGTCCCATTAGATGACTATCTTTGAAGCGGAATGTGCACATATAAAAATAGAAGATGTCAAAACAATTGAAATGTTTACATTATTCATAAAAGATTCTTGTTTAGACTTGGAAACAAGATTCTTGTTTCGTTCCATGCTTTGAAAGCTTACAATAAATTCCGAATGGCCAATGTGGAAAAAACATTTGATAGAAAGATAGGAACTCCGAAACCCTTGAACAGTTTGAATTTGCCGCGTAATAACTTTGACGTATAATTTATCTATGAACTCGTTGGAATCTATGATTTTGTGGGTCACATGTCTCCATGTGATAAATATGTAGGTTATATTAAAGATAAATTGTAATTTGAACATTTCATTATTAGGAGCTGGTGAAGCAACAGCTTTAAATGTTGTTTCTCTTTCTCTTTTCAGGTGAGTTCGTGATTAATTAATGTTGAAAAATGTTTTGGTAAAAGTGTAATAACTGGTTTATATAATACAATACTCCACTTTTTTCAGATCAACTCAATTTTGGTCATAATTTCACTGTTCCCCGAGACGTCCCTCAAAGCCAGAAGGCAATTCTCTAAACACTCACCAATCGCTAAATCATATCTATCAGCTCTTGAATGGGATAAGTTTTCATTTTCAACGGTAATAATTTAGTGAATGTTCTGAATAATGTAAAATACTGTAACGAATTAAAGAATTAACTGTCTTAAACAATTTATTTTTAACAATATTTCACTATCACAACTAATTTATATACAACACTTAGCAACTAACGCTTAATTTATCTTCACAATTAGATTTATTTATTTTAAACGCACGATTCACTTTCTAAGTACAGACTACCCTCTAGGGAATGAATGAATGAAAATCGTTTATTTACATTTGTTTGATAATTACATTACATTTGTTGGGTGTGTTTGTGTGGGGCCTGCTATAGGCTAATGCCTCTACAGGGTAATCCCTCTAGGGACGGGAGGCCGGCTTATATAGCAGCAACGATCACTGCAGATCTCTTCTCGTCATTTCGGCACACATCTAGAATTGTCGTTGCGGTTCATCGACCGCGTTCTTTTCGCGATGAGTCATATGTTTGATGTCTGAGATAACGGTCAGGGCCGGCCTCAGATTCATTAAAATACAATAAGTCAATAAGAATTCTTTCAACAAGTTGAATAAACGTCGTGTCAAAGCTATCTTGATGCAAAGAATGCATTGAAATAAAAACTACTATTTGAAAAAGTCAATATCTGAATTTGAGTTAGGTATAGGGTACCCAAAAATGAAATGAAAGATAAAAATAATTCGAAAGTAATTCAAGATTGTGTTCAACACCGCGCTTGTAACTAAAGAATTTTAATAAGTCTGAAATCAGAATGAATCTATTCACAAAAAAAATTTGTTTAAAAAAAGCGTGGGATGCTTTACATTATATTTTTATTATGGCACCAATCTGACTGTAGCTCTTAACCAAGTATTTATAACAATGGATATTTAGCAACCCACGCTTTTTTACAACAATTTTTTTTTCATTCCTGGCGATCCTCATCAGGATAATGAGATAAACTCATTAAATTATTGTATTGTCACTGTACAAAGTTTTAAATAAATCTGTCCGTTAAAAGTTAGTCAAAGTCGAATCCAAAGGAGTCGGTTCCAAACAAACATACAAGTGAAGCTAATGAAAGCGTGTTAAAATATACAGGGTGTTCTAGTAAACTGATGGATATAGTCGTACTACGTGGTAGATCATCATGAAAATTGAGAAATAAAACTTCCTTTGTATTAATACCACTTGTATTTGTAACGTTACTGCAGTTTCGTCCTATACGGACATTTTCAAATGAATACAATAAACTGAAGTATGTTGAACATAACGATGAGAAATATTTTACATCAACCAGAAAAAACCGCCTAAATAAAGATGCAATCCCCACAATTCGTTCAGGTAAGAATAATGGTTCTCAATAAATCGAACACTTATAACAACCTTGGAAATTCCTTCAATTAAGTCACAGGAGATTATAATGCTGTTATTATATGAGACAATATCCCCAAATATGAACAGTTTTTGGGCTACCTGCCGTAATTCCTAATGACTATTGAGATCTATAAGGTCAAGGAATTTTTGAAAGCCACATTTTCATGGAAATATTCTAGGAAAAAGTATTCACACTGAAGTTAAAAATTATTTTTTCAACAGTTCATATACCCACGACATCGGGAAATGCTCATACAAGTTGGGACGTGAAACCCCTACATCAGGGTGAACTTGAAGAAGAATCAGAAATCTGTATAAACGAGGAATCTTTCGATACAGAAACTGATATGGAACCATTATCGACGGAACTTGAATTAGATGAGGAAGCTCCAAGTTTGGAAAAAGCTAACAAAGATGAAGATGAGGCAGTGTCAAATACTGATTATTCTAACTCATTTGATGGAGGTATGATTTTCTTCCGTTTTTCTCGACATGCAAATAACTACTTTTTTATATTGGAAGTACCATTTACATCTGAAAATTATTTTTGTGTGTGTGTGTGATTTCCATATCTGAAAGAATTTTTTTTGAATTTTCGATAAGATTTTTCATTCTCATATCAATAGGCAACTTGAAAGCCAACTACAATAATTGACCAAATGCAAATAATGTAAGTTATTTTCAGATACGGGAATGTTGATAATGCTTTATATAAGTATCGTTGTTAGGAAGATATATCTATTTATATAGACTAATTATATATATATAGCATTTGTTGCAAATGGTTTTTTATATTCTTTGTTTTTATTTCAGATAAATCAAGGTCTGTTCAAGTACAAACTTCTAGTCACTTATCATATCACTCCCCTCGGAAGACTCAGCTGAGGAACAGAATACGTGTTTTAACGAAGAGACTGAGTAATATTGAGAAAAAACAGAAAGAACACAAATTTAGTAAAAATTTGAACATGACTAATGTCATTAAATTCATAGAGAAACACTGTTCCGAAACAGTTGCCAATTTTATGAAATTTCAATTAATGGAATCGCAGAAAAACACTAAAGGGGTCAGATTTTCAGATAGTATGAAACAATTTTCACTGGCTGCCTTCTTATTGGGACCAAAGTGTTATAAATATCTATCCAAATATTTCAAGCTACCCTCCAGGTCCATACTGCAGAGGATCACCAGAAAATGGCCTATTGATGCAGGATACAATCAATTTATTTTTGATGTCATCCAACTGAAAATCAATAACTTCAGTAATAAAGATACGGATTGCAACATTTGTTTCGATAAAATAAGCATCAAGTCCCACTTATTCTACAATATAGGAAAGGATAGAATAGATGGTTTTGAGGAATTATTCAACAAAAAAACGGCTTTTATAGCAAAATATGCCTTAGTAGTCATGGCAAAAAGCATACATTCGAACTGGAAACAGCCTGTTGCATACTTTTTTACCATTTCATCCACATCAATACTGGATATAAAAAAGTATTGTGATTGAAGCTGTTAGGCAATTATCAAAAATTGAATTGAGAGTTAGGGGTATCATTTCAGATTTAGGTTCTAATTTTTATAAACTTGCCAGAAAAGATCTCAAAGTGACTGTAGAGCAGCCATATTTCTTTGTTGATGAGAAAAAAAATATTTAACTTTTTTGATACTCCTCATCTGCTGAAATGTAGAAGAAACCATTTTTTTTGATGACTTTTCGAAATTTGATGAATATACAACGAACAAAAGTCATCTTGAACAACTTTACAACTTGGATAAGGAAAAGCAATATAAACTAGCACCCAAACTTACTGATTCTCATTTATTTCCAACTAACTTTCAAAGGATGAAGGGTAAATTAGCCAGTCAAGTTTTCAATCATTCGGTAGCTACAGTGATGAATACCTATGCCAGTTTCAATCAGATACCATCAGCAGCAATATGAACGGCTACATTCATTGAAAAAATGGATAAAGTGCTTGATATTTTAAATTCAAATAGGGCAGAGGAACCACTTATGGCCACTACCCCACTTATGGCCACTTTGCTCTCATCGGTGGAATAAATAGCATGATGCACGACTACCAATGGGATCAACTTTGGCAAAAGATCACTCTGTCTAGGAAGAAGTGGGGACCACATTAAAAATTCACTGAACTTACGAATTAGTCTCGCAATATCCGTAGAAATGATAGTGTGTCCCATATGTTGTGTTTCCTTAGAGCATTCGTTAAGGAAGTGATCCGGAATCATCCAGTTGAAATAAAAAGTTAACATTTTTTTATCTCAATATTGGTTGACAAATAAAGTAAATATATGGTTTCAGATCAATATTCTTCTCGTTTCTTGTCAGTAAATAATATTAGAGTCTGTTTAATGGAGGTGGCCATTGGTGGCAACTACAAATATGCGATTTTCTACCTATGGCCATGAAGGTNACTTTTATAACTATGTGATAATACTTACATGTATATATTTTCATTAAAGAGTTTTGAATAATGATGCACAAATAATTAAAAAGCAGAAATAATTTCACTGTATTATCTTCACTATAATATGAATTTAATTTACACTTTAGTCTAAGTAACACGTGGCCGGCTATGCTAACACCAAAAATGTAAAAAGCAAAAACAATTGAATTTCACGGTATTTCGTTTACTACAAAATAAATTCAACTTATACTTTATCCTCAACAACACGTGGTGGTTATGCTATTGAATTGTAGCTTGTATGACACATTTGTAGGTTTAACATAGCAGTGCCAACTATTGATTACTTACTCAATCCAGTCAACAGATATCGCCAACTGTTAAAATCGTTTGAAGTTAACAGATAATTGTGAATGTCAAATAATAGACAAATAATTTGCAATAAAATAATATTGCGACTATAAATTAAGATGCAAGCCATCCTATCTTTCAAGTTGGATCAAACTGCACACGATGTGCAAATTTGATTAAAATCGGTTAAGTAGTTTAGGAGTCCATCGCGGACAAATAACGTGACACGTAATTTATTGGATTGGATTGTGGGGATTTGAGGTACAGATTTCCAGCATGACTAAAATGAATTGAATAAATAAGCTTTTAAATGCGATGAGAGGAAAAGAAAAAATTGCCACGAGTACAAAATAGGTATTCTTGCCCGATAAAATTTTGATTCTGTTACGCACAGAATTAACAAGTCACACATTAAAAAATATATAATTTTCTTTTGAGCACATTTTTATAAACGCTTTTTCATCAATTTAATTAATTCTTTTTAACCAAACTGGAAACTTGTAAAACTCCAATTTTGAATCGAATCAAATCACAATTAAAAATATCGTCCGCCATCTTGTTTTTGCATCGACTAAACAATCATAATTTCCTACTCTGGAAATCCTCACATACTAATTTTGATTCGAATCGGACTATAATTACAATATTCATCCGCCATCTTGGAACCACAATATTGTTTTTTTGCAAACAAATCATAATTTCCGACCCTGAAAACCACCCAGTTATCAATTTTGAATCAAATCGGACCATAATTGTAAATCTTGTCAATCATTGTGAAGCCGCCATTTTGTTTTTTTGTTTTTTCATTTAGAAAAATTCCATAACGCATTGTCACCGAATTTATGTCAAATTAGCTTGCAAATGAAGTATCATAACTTGGGATACGGAACAGTTTTATCCGCAATGGGGCGCCAAAATAGAAAGTTTGGTAGCGAAAATTGGCATGGCCGAACTCCTTATGACATTACCTTTTTAATGATATGTCACACTTACTACCTTCCCTATTCAAATTGTATGGGTGATAGTGATCGAGGTGGGTGGAGAGGTATGACAGTTGAGGTCAAGATAGAAAGATGTCCCCCTTGGATTACAAATCGACGTGTTTTTGCATTTTTTCAGAAAACATGTTTCATTGTGTTAGGGTACCTACCTGTCGAATTTATTGGGTGTCTGAATTATATTTTGAAGAAATAGAAACAATTCACAAAAGAAGTAACGACAGGACCATAATTTAAAATTGTTGTCACTGATGATGGTAGTTATTTCAAATGAAACGCTATAAAAATACCAAATGTGATTTTGAATTTATTGCTTCATCAATATCTGTAATAAAAAAAGACAGGTCCATATTTAAAAAAAAAAAAGGTTGATGGTGGCCATGTTGACATGAAACTTTTCATCGAATATTTAGAAAACAAATGTTAAAAAAAATCAAACACTCATCATTCTAAAAAACCTTTAAAATATATTAGCATAAGTTTTTGACCTAAACTGTATAATCTTACTATATAAAATATACGTTCATTTCACCACCTTGTCTTATTTTTCATCAATTCCTAAACAGTTCACAATCATATGAGAAATTTATTGGGAGTTCCTCGTAGCAATGATGAAGTCAGATCATGGTCACATATTTTTTGAACGAACCTCGTGCAGAGGTGCACAACAGTGCCCCGCCACATGCCAGCAAAAACTAAAATCTCGACTCGAAACATCAAAGAGGCCGACGGGAGTGAATTTACTTCTGTTTACTTATGTACGGTGGTAATATATACTGGAGGTACGCTCATGCTGCATACTTTTTTATATTTTTTGACAATATGTTGCACTTGCACCATTACATCGGGGAAGTGCGTTTTCATGAACCGTATATACATTTGAATTCACTTTCATCCATTCGGTGTAAGATAGATTTTATCATGGAATTAGTTTCAAAATGCTAATTTGCAGGTTGAAATATCTTCAATATTGAGAAAGTTGCAGTAGTTTTTAAATATAATGTATCGAATCTCTGGGAAAACAAATATTCACTTTATTTGATGATGGTTTTTTATTAGAAAAGAATGAAATCTACAAACGAAAGTCAATGAAAAGTCTCAGAATCATCAAAGTTACTTCTATCGAACATTATAGCTTGAAAAATCAATTGGAAATCCTATTTCTCCACGGCGTCCATATAATGGGGTGGGTAGAACTTTGATATTTTCTTCAGAGGACATTGAGGACTAGAGTCCTCAATATCTAAGATCAAAAATACTGTTTTTTTTTTTAGTGAGTTTGCTATTATTGATTTTTCTGACGAATTTGACCACAGGTTCATTTTCTATCATCTCAATTATTTAGCCAAAAAAATCCTATTAGTTTTTTATGCTTGGAACTTAACACGCGCCCAGTTGAGTATTGCCATATCAATTACATTGGTATTGCTTTCATCCATATCAGCTACATCATCTTGCTCTCTTTCGATCATATTGAGTAATGATTCGTTGACATTGTCTTCACTATCGTGCAAACTCAGTTAAGCATAACTTTTTTGATGTAGATTTAGCCACAGCTTCTTCTTTCATGTGCTGTAAAACTTCTTCCCCTACACCAATGTAGTGATAGTTTCTTTCAATATCTTGAAATGGTCACTCATAATGATTAGATCAGTTGCTTTTTTTCTGCTGTATTCAACACTTTGTGGTTTTTCAAGCGATAAGTTATGGCGTTTCTTGAATAAAATAAACCATTCTTCGGAAGGAACTCCATTTACAAAAGGAATTTCAAGGTTGTTAGCACGTACATATTAGCCCACTAATAACAAAACTTATTCACACGAAAGACCAAAATCATGTTTTTCCATGTAGGTTAAACCTTCACTGTTTTATTCTCTTACGGCCTGGCCACGAGGATCGGCGGTGCGAACGTCGAAGCGGGGGGCGAGGCGACCATTCGCGATTTTCAACTAAATTTATTTAGAACTATCTTTGCTCAAAATATTATCAGCTAATTAAATGTTACCTTGTATAATAATATTTCAATAATAAAAACACTTTTTGATAATTATGATATTTATGGCAAAAATCTTAATTACAAGACACTAATTTTTTGTGAAACTAAAACAAAAAACAACTTCTAACTTGTAATTGGCCGTAGAATGAATAATAACGTTCTAACTTTTTAATCAGTCTTTTTTGTTCTTTTCAATCATTATTTCTTCGCACAACCTCTTCACTACATGTTTGAATTTATGTTGTGGATGGTCAGACTTCCAGCTGGTCTTGCTAGTATTTCAGCAATAAATGTCTCGGTGTTCATTTTTCGCGGCGAAAACAACTGAACTCGTTTGATCACTGCACTATTCGCCGCGACTGCCGCTCGACTCCGTGGCTCGCCTACTGATTCATGCCTTTGTTTTGCTCGGTAAATTTCGCCAGTCGCTTCGCCGGTCGCTGTTGCGCGTAGCTTCATAAGTACATTGCTATGCGTTTATTTCAGTCGCTAGACGCTTCGCCGTTCGCACCGCGCTTATATTCGCCTCGGCGAATGTTCCGTGGACAGGCTGTAAATTCGATGGTAGAGCAGTCAGTCGTCCAAGGGTAAACGATTTTTTAACACGGCGTCTTTCAGATTATCTCTCAGTGTTGTTTTTGGGGATATTATATGTATTATATGCTCTGTGCATGGACAATGTACCTGTTTGTACTTCATTAAGCACATTGGTCAAGTTTTCTTTTGAATATGCCGCACGGTTTGATTTTCGTATGTAGTTCCTCACCATACTGCACCTGAAATATGAAAGAAACTACTCAGGATATCAATGAATATGCTGAATTAATGCTGGGGTAAGTGCGACCTATGACGCACTTTGATTGTTTTTATAGGTCGCGCATGCCCCAGTTTGTTATTTTCCTGCGGCAACATGGACCTTTAAAAAAAACTAATCATATCTAGTGAAAACACGTGTAGCTGTACAGGCACTGACACTAATCATACAACACAAAAAAGGTATTTTTCATACTAACCTATTAGTGATATCACTAATAACACTTAAAATTCAACAAATCACCAACTTGCATGCGACGGAACACCACTATGTCTCCACTGAAGATAGTCTGATATGATCACCACACCGTTTAGAAATTCACAAATTGGTGCAAATACATGCTAATGGCAGCAGCGGTATTCTTACTAGAAAGATACTGATGACCGACTGTCGCACATGTACCAAAAACGAACTTACCCCACCTCACCTTACTCTGATTCGGAAGGTTGAACTAGAATATACAGCTTGTCAAATCTAGAAAAAGACTTGACAAGCTGCCATTGTTTAAAAATACAATTATTCGAAAAATTCACTCATTTGAAAACTAAAGTTTGCAGTGTTGTGTACAAACCTGTAAACTTCTGGAATATTAGCACACCATATTCCATTCGGATACTGCCCAATCAATATTTTGAGATTATTTTGAACAGTCTGAGGGACAAAATTCTCGAAGTTCTCTAACGGTGGTTTAGTTCTTTCTGAATGATGAGGTTTCTTTTTATGACTCCTTACCGAAGTTTTTGGCAAAGCAGTGGAGAATTTGTTGCAATTCTGAATATCTTTAACAATCTCTGGAGTTTTCAAGGATTCAACGTGTTTAACAACCTTATTTTCCCCATTTTGGAGTAGACTTGAATCACAAACATTGTTGTTTACTTTGTGAGATTTCTTCGATGTTGACAATTCACCTTGAAGATTTATAATTTTGATTTTGTTTGTATTTTCTGATGTTTTTATATGATTCTCGTTCATTGAATAGTTAACTGGAAGCTTGATTAAATCAATAGGTCTGTTATTAGGCTGCTGACATGAAACATTTGGATATTGGATCCTTGCTCTATGCTCTTCGGGATGTTGTTGGTAATGTTTCCAATATTCTTTCTTGGCACTAATGACCGTTCTCCTTCTGAAAATAAATTTCAGAAGGTAAAGTATAACTATTTCACATGCAGGATAACGAAATCATTGAGTATAACTGATATAAAAGCAGAATTATGGACATTGGTTATTGTAATAATTGAAGTTTGACTTCGTGATCAACGGGTCAACTTTTTACCTTAACTGTCAAACCTCAAGAAAAAAAAGTCGAAGAACAAGATGAACTATGGGTACATCAGAAAAATTTATAGAACTCGATGTAAAAACTGTTAATAAAAATCAAGATGGTAGTGATTCCCAAATTCTGGAAGAGATTCAAGTTCCATTTGATGATGAGAGCTAGAACAACACTGCAAAGTTATAGAAATATTAAGCCGAACACATTCTTCAGAAATTAGCATTATCCAAACTGATGATGAAATCATTTAAATTTATACTGATAAACTCTCTCCAGAAAACGAAATGTCTGTTGAAAATTTAAGAGTATACAAAAACCAATCCCTTGTTAGGACCCCCTACACAAATAAGTTGTTTAAACAAATGCCATCCTAATAACACATTAAATGAACTAACAGAACAACTTTCCTCTGCAAAATTTAAAATCGAGGTCACATTTGTCACAGATGATGTGGTGCTGCAGGTTTTTCCGGGTTTTCCTGCAGCTGAAAAAGCAAATGCGCCACTGGAATCAATGAAGTCGCCCCGGAGCGCCAATTAATTTTTATTGTTGTATTTATTTTATTTTTAATGTCATAAATTAAAGTCTCCTTATTTATTTTTAATATGAACTCAATTTAATTTTGATTTTATAGAACAGTGTGTTAAGATGCTATGTTTTTACAAGGATTACCTTTCGAATTTGAGAGCTGGTTGTGACTTAGAGTCACATAATATTCTATTTTAGATGGTATTTAATAAAGTCATACACTACACAGCAAGTCGAGAATTCAGAAAATTCTGGAATTCACGAAATGCGATAAAAATTCGAAATAAAAGGTAATTTTGTAACACTTTGTGGCCATTTTTCATAGATCAAAGTAAACCGAAGGAAACCCACCCACAAATACATGTTTCCAAAGATAGGGAGCAATTATGTCCTGAATCTGAATGACACCATTCAAGACAACAGTCCATTTGCAAGGAAAGCTTCAAAGCCAAGTTAGGACGATAGTGGAATCAGTGTAGGCTGAAATAGTGCTTATTTTGAGTTTATTACTGAAATTTCAAGTATAAAAAGACATCAATTCGGATAGTAAAAAAGCTGCGCATAATTCTAAGTCAGGCTGAAGTTTGGGTCCAACCAAAAGAGTATCATTTAGTTTAGAGAACCACCTAGTAGAGGTGCTATTAGATCTTAAAATACAGTGATGAGGTATACAGTATGTATTATCGTTATGTGAGAAATTGCTGATAACTTCCATATGGTGTCAAGTCAAATAATCACTCATAAAATAGCAATATTGTTCATAATTGTGAAAGAAATGTAACTTTAATCCGAAAAAACATAATCCAAAATTTTAAAAGGCAATAACTCTATGTACCACCCACCGTCCAGAAGAATTTCGAGAAACAATCGCATTATGAATTTTTTTAGCTTTGATATCATCGGGAGCAAGGGAAAAGACTGGAATATCTTTGAATTGCCAAAACCTTTTGACTGATTCTTCATTAATTCTTCTAAAAGGGAAAGAATTGTCTCGAATGAAAAAGAGACTAGTTTTTTCCATGAAGATCCACCCGAACAATGAATTGAAAGCAACTGGGTGATTAAATGTATGTAGCTTTAGAGCTTGTACAAGAAAATATTTCTGCTAATAAAAGCATATCCACTGGATGTGAAATATAAAAAGAAGGGTATGTTAACTGTAAACGAGAAAATTTAGAACTATCTTCTATTGGTAGTGAAGAAAAAGGCATATTCGAGCATATTTCGATTTTATTGTAAAAATAACACCGAGACCGTGAATGTGCAATATCTCTTACTTCAAGAGTCAGTTCACGACAAGTAGGTATGACAGACACAATTTGAGCATTTCTCAGAAATGAAATTCGTTTGGCTACCACTATCAAGAAGAGCTCGAACAGAAAGATAACAAACTCGACTATTTAGCCTCTCTATTATAGCGTTGAAAAGAAGAACCGAACTGGGATTTTGAGAGACAAGATAAACAGGCAAGATTTTGACATTTAGAGTTCTTACTTCAATGATTTCTTTATAAATATTGAGAAAATCGAGCCAAAGAAGAATATAAAATTAGAATCATTTTTTATCAATAGTTTATTTCTATACTCGACAACCCCAATGGAGGTTCAAGAGATTATAAAAAAAACAACAAAAACGCCAACTTCAGGTGTAGATGAAATACATGGGAAAACATTGAAGGCTGTCAGTGACATTATATGTCATCCTCAATCATACATTATAGACAAATCATTCTGTAAAGGGATTTATCCGGATGTGCCCAAAATATCAAAATCTGTCCGTATCTATATAAACAAAGGATCAAAAAATGAAGTAAACATCTACAAAAACGTATGTTTGCAATCACAACTAGTAAAAATTATCGATTATAGCTACTATATGAGATTGAGTAAATTCACTGAGCATCACAAACTTATTCCTGATTGCCAGCACAGCTTTAGGCAGGAAAGATCAACATCTACTGTGATAAATGAACTCTGTGATCACATACATATGAACCTAAATGAGAAGCAATTCCCAGTCTGCTTATATTTTGATCTTACCAGGGCTTTCGATACCGTTTTTCATGAATTACTTCTTGAAAAGCTTTACCGAATGGGGATTAGGGGGGTAGCCAATGACTGGGTTGCCTCATATCTAAAAAACATGATGCAGTTAGTAGTTATTGATTCGATAAAATCAGAACCCGCACTTGTTACAATGGGGGTCCCACAAGGACCAACACTGGCCCCGCTATTTTTCATAATATTTATGAGTGATATAGTACTTGCATATTTGTCACCAAATAAAACTATAACATATGCAGATGATACAAGCCAAATAGTAGCAAAAAACAACCTTCCACTCTTGATAGAAGTCACAAACAAAACAGCAAATGAATTCTCACACTGGTGTAAAAATAATGGTATTATAGTTAATACTAATCAAACAGTCTTCATAATCTTCCAATAAAAAAATACTTCATATAATTACAGTCCCCTCATAAGAATTGATCATAAATATATACAGCAGGTCAGTCATATTAAATACTTAGGACTTACAATTCATCAAAAACTGACTTGGGAAGTACATGTAGAAAATCTTACCCCAAAAATAAGTAGCTTGTGTTTTGTCATGAGACAGTTACGGGAAACTGTTTCATTGCAGGTACTCAAACTGACGTTTGTGGATGTAGCCGTTACTACATGGTAGGAGATCATAATGAAGAAAAGAAAATTGAAACATTCTTTGTTTTTCTATGTTTAACGTATAAGTTTGAAAATATCCTTATAGGACGAAACTGCAGTAACTAGTTACAAATAAAAGTGGTAAAAAACATAGAAAGAATAAATTCTCTTTTCTTCATTATGATTTCCTACCACGTAGTAACAGCTACATCCATCAATTTACTGAGTAGAAGAAGAAATTTTACAAATTTCTTGAAGTATTTTAGGGACTTAAGATGATTTTATATAATTACTCAAGATGCGGCAGTTGGTTTTCAGTGAGAACAATTCTTTAGTTAGAAAGTTTACACTCATTGATCAATTCTTAATTTGTTTAATTTATATGCATCAGAGTTTAAACCTGAAACTAATTGAGAAAGTGATTTTTGAATTCAAATGTTCATCGATGTGTCTTCCAATTTATAACTTTTATATAATTTATAACTCAGTTCCCTTAATTTTAAGACTTGAGATTTCAACAAGTTTTTGTCTATTATGAAAATGTTTTGTTTATTTTCAGCTGATTACAGAAATTTTCCAGATGATCATTTGTTTATACTGATAATACTTCCAGTATCATGAAATGAAGAGGTTAGGCCCAATGATTGACACTTGGGGAACTCCTAAGCTCATATGTACCTACTCTTTTGAATTTGATATTTGTGAAACATATGAAATTCGCAGTATTTTTATGCACTCAGATATTCTTTTTTTTTTTTGGAGAAAGTCTTTCAATAAAGCGTAATTGCTTAAAAAAGATTGTCAGATGAATGTACGGTTTTCTTCATGGAAAAATCAACAAACAAAATCTATGGCACTAGAGAGATATTAGACTGCATATTTTTAGAGAGGGGCATATCCAGTTTCTAGAAAAAGTTAATGCATGAGTGGGCATTCTGAGAAATCACTGTTGGACCAATTTCTATCAGAAGAAACCTTGCCGGAGATATTTATAGAAACTTATATTGAACCTGAATATTGAATTAGCAATAATTTGAAAATCGTGAAATCATTATTTTGCAAGACCTCCCCATTTTTATTGCATAGTTAGATACAAACTTTCCTTGGCAATAAATAGTTGCAAAGGACAAGTACAGAATGCAGCTAATATCTCTATATCTCATACTTCTACATTGTTTGCTTTGGAAATGTCTAAAATAAAAAATCTAGTCTATCAAACAATGGACGATTTGGAACGCAGAATAAGACAAACAAGTGAAGAAATAGATGGATCGACTTCATCAATGTGAGAGGAGCTATTCATAATATGGTACTTTATTTTCAAGATTCAGGAGAAGTCCGTTCTGAACCCTTAATGAAATAATTTCTGAGACTATCGTACATGCCAGCATTTAGAAAGTCTAAAGTCTTCTCCACGTATTCTTCTTTGTTCATGGGTATGACCGTTTTTCCTTTATCAGCTCGCGTAAAAACAATGTTATCTTCTGCCGATTTCTCTTTTATGGATTTCACTAGTTTCAATTCCAGATTGAACCTAACTTTATGCATCTTTTCAGATTTTAAAATTTCTGCAGCAATGTTTATTGGCGTGGCATGTCCCCATCAACGGCGATATCTGTATCAATTCCCAAGACTTCTAAATTTGTCGAATTTATGTTGGGTTTAATATTGTAATTGAGACCTTTTTCTAATAGATGAGTTTCCTGTTCTGTGAAACTAGTGTACGTGAGATTGACAAATCTGTCAAAGAACCTATGATGAGAAAATAGTTCAGTCTTTGGCCTTTTTCTTTTTCTTCGGTGGCTTGCTCCGAATTAAAACATCTAATTTCCTTCTCTGGGTTAAAAACTTCTTATGTATGATACCATTGACTTTATCACGAATATCCGAGTCTAGGACTTGAAATTCAATCTATACCAATACCACAAGGCCAAAAAGCCGATACTGGCTTTCTTCAATAATTGAATAGAACTGGCCGATACTTCATACACAACTGTTGTGTAAACTCCACTTCATTGAATTTCAAGTCCTAGACTCGGATATTCGTGATAAAGTCAATGGTATCATACATAAGAAGTTTTCAACCCAGAGAAGGAAATTAGATGTTTTAATTCGAAACAAGCCACCGAAGAAAAAGAAAAAGGCCAAAGACAGTGAACTATTTTCACATCATAGGTTCTTTGACAGATTTGTCAATCTCACGAACACTAGTTTCACAGAACAGGAAACTCATCTATTAGAAAAAGGTCTCAATTACAATATTAAACCCAACATAAATTCGACAAATTTAGAAGTCTTGGGAATTGATACAGATCTCGCGTTGCTGGGGACATACCACGCCAATAAACATATTGCTGCAGAAATTTTAAAATCTGAATAGATGCATAAAGGTAAGTTCAATCCGGAATTGAAACTAGTGAAATCCATAAAAGAGAAATCGGCAGAAGATAACATTGTTTTTACGCGAGCTGATAAAGGAAAAACGGTCATAGCCATGCTGGCATGTACGATAGTCTCAGAAACGACCCCACCCCATTTATGTCAGAAAGAAATAAAATAATTGTCGATAATGAAAGTGTTTTTATTCAAAAATAAACTAATTTTTCTTTTATTCAAAAATAAACTAATTATTTTTTTAATCAACTTATTTGTTTTGAGAGCAATATTTGTGTTCCAGTTGAATTTGAAATGACGAAAATGTCACTTTTCACACGTCAATGTTTCGATGGCAGTTAAATTTAAGAAAAAACGTTGATAATTATGAGCAGATTTTGAAAATCGAACAATTCACGAAGTGTTCTATACTTATGATGTACTGTTTGGAACCTTTGGTGTAGTAATGAATATTACCGGAGTTTTTTCCCAACACCAAATCGTTATTTTTACACCTCGACACGTGTTTCGATCACCAAGTGATCATCTATTAAGAAAAATACACCAAGATGGCGCTCAGCTAGCTTTAATTTTTCCATGAAAAATTGGCTTTTCATCTTCTATTTAAGCCCTCCAAATTTCGTTGGGATATATCAGTTGGTTTAAAAATTTATAGGACGGGAATAGGTACACTTCAGATGGGCACTTTATAAGTATTTTTTGCAAATTTTAATATATTTATATTATTACTATTTCACTTGTTAGATAGAACTGGAACCTTTGGCTCAAAATGAATGTAATAAAGACACCTTTTCCACGCAATAAAACTAGGGTACTTTATCTCAACACATATTTTGCTAATGAAGTTATCATCACTGATTGAACTATCAGTCATCTCCTGATTATGCTTTGATTTCATTATATTATTTCAATTGTTTCAGAAAATAAAAATGTTTAAATATTTTTACCCATAATATGAATATTTTTTTCTTGAAGTAGATCTTTTCTGGTTAGACACCAACTCCATAACATGTGATGACTTCTCAGATTCCACAGGAATAACCTCTGCACATGGACCAGATCCTCGAATCTGAAAATAAAAATGTTAATAACCAAGCAAATTCCTCCAAAAACTATATTTCTGGTATTAACAAAATTATCAGAAAAAACACACTAATTAATTTCCCATTGGCGGAAATTACAATATTTCATAATAAAACAGACATGTCCGAATGAAGGACCAAATGATTAGAATTTCTGAGAAATGTTAGGTACTTGATATTTCAAAAAGTTCATTCGTCGGAGTTAACTGTATGCATGAATACAGGCAATAAAATGAAAATACAATTGCCTATAGTTCACATAAAAATAAAACAAACAAAAATTATGGGTATACATAATGTAAAACAAGGTCCCAAAAGTATTTTCCGTGGAATACCACGATTTAGATCTACTGAGTTTGATATTATGTCATCTAATATCATCTGTTGGACCCTGTCTTTCACCCAATTCTACTGAAACCTAAGAAATTTAAAATTTCAATCAGAAATTTGTAAGCACTTGAGTAATCAAGCAAAATTGATGTACACAAATCGTTAATATTTTTTTTAATAAAAGGCAAAGCTCAGTCTTCTTTCAGCGAGACATGCTTGAAGCGGCCCGTTGTCCCACTTAAAAATGACCTTTGGGAAAGTGTATGGAGCAGCAAGTGAAACAATAATATATTACATACTTCAAGGACAGGCAGTAAAAAAGTTATTTCAGAAGTACCTATTCAATCTAATGTCGATTACCAAATGGGAAATTCCTCAATAATACTTTGAATTTTGATATTCTTAGGAGTGAGTTTAAATCCATTTGGAACATGATTGTATAACTTACAAATTTGATAACTGAATGCTCTCTTGAATCTAGGCGGAGTTAGGACATTTTTAAGCATCTTAGTATTGCTGTGAATATCAGTACAATAGATGATTTTTCTACATAAGTAGGCCGACTTTCTATTTATGACTATTTTGTGGAAGAGAATGATAGCATGGAGTTTTCTTTTATTCGCCATGTTGAGCCCACCAGCTCTCCTCAGTGCGTGTGTTATCTTTTGTCTTCTTCTGATACCAAATATCAAGTGAATGCAAGATCTTTGCACAGTTTGGATTTTGCGTTTACATAATTAGTCAAAGTGTTTCGGCAAAGATAAAGTATGGTAGCACCAATGTTTCACATAGGTAATCATTAATTTTTGAGAACGGTATTTTCTATTTCCATATACAGTGTGTCCCAGCTAAAACTTGTCACCCTCGCTCGGACCCATCAATTTTTATTTCCCAGCACTACTACTACTATACTTGTGATACATCATTTTGAAGGGAATTCAATCCCAAATACATCGGTGTACTGAAATTGAGGATCGATCAAGTTTTATCAAGATATTTTTATTTTACATCACCTAAAATGTTATCATCGTAAGAAAGGTGGGTACACCACTGTATTGAAAAATAATATGCTTCCAGAAAAATAGTTTAAGAGGTGCGACAGACGTTTACATGAAAAAAAACTGTCGCCATGTGTTTTTGTATACTGCTTTTGTATACTGCTGAAATAGTTTAAAATCTTAATATTAAAGTAATTATATAATAAAACAAAGATTAAAAAGAATTCATTCATTAAATGTATAAGATTCACATTAAAATTATCATATTGAAAAATATTCTTCCAGGGAATAAAATGCCTGATCAACAAGAAATTCATATAGTTCACTTTTAAATTTATTTCAAGTTATTTTGGCCAGAACATAATTCCAAATATTTATTATAACATTTTATTTGTTGATATCTATGTGATTTTTGTCCAAGAGTCATCCTTGAGAATGGTTGATATATTTTGTTCTTATTTCTTGTTTCATGGTGGTGATTATTTGTATTCTTAGGGATATTTTGTTGTTTAAAATCTATGATAAGTTTGAATATATAGAGACAAGGCAGGGTTAATATTCCAGACCTTTTAAACAATTCTTTATATGATGTCAGAGGCGAAACTCCCATCATACTTCTTAGTATTTTTTTTTGTATAATGAATGCACCATTTGCATACCTCGATGATCCCCAAAAGATAAGACCGTATGATAAAGCACTCTGTACATGGGCGAAATATACCATTTTTAAAATATCGTAGCTAACTGTATTTCTTAGCTGCTTTAATAAGAAACAAACAGAGCTCAATTTAGCTACCAGTTTAATAATGTGTCCTTTCCAAGTTATGGTCTATTGTGACTCCTAAAAATTTTATTGATTGAATTTGTTGAATTATTTGTAGATTCATTTTTATAGTTAAATTAGAATCGTAACTAAGATGTTTGGGTAAAAATGTCATAAAAAATGTTTTATTAATATTAACAGATAATCCATTGTTGACAGTAATCGTAAAATGCTTGGGCGTTTATGTTTGCTCTCCCACAACATTCTTGAGCTGTTTGGTGTTTTAAGCAGAAATTTGTCTACTTTGTCTATAGTCTACTTTGATGAAATTAATAAAAATAATTCTATCTAATTTCCACTAGTTATATTATTTTGACAAAAGTATTTTTATTCATTTCATTAAAGTGATCATAAATTTCCACAAAATAAAAAAGTCATCAATCACACATATGATGATCTGAGCTCACCTTTCAACAAGATGGAGCTCCTCCACATTTTGTTGCAGCTGTAGGTCAATTTTTAGATGACAATTTCAAAGGAAGATGGATTGGAAGACGAGGACCAATAGAATGGCCGGCTAGATCTCCTGATTTATCACCATTAGACTTCTTTTTATGGGGTCATTTGGAATCCAAAGTTTATATAACACAACCAAATTCTCTTGATGATCTACGCAGGAGAATTGTTGTGGAGTGTCGTACGGTGACTCCAAAAATGTTGAGAAATGTACGAAGACATTTCGAAAATCGCCTATACTTCTGTATGGAACTGAAGGATTCACATTTTGAACCTTTCGTATGATGATTACATTTTATGTGATGAAAAATAAAAATATCTTGATAAAACTTAGTTTTCATTAAAACTTCAACAACACTTGATCGATCCTCAATTTCAGTTAATCGACTTATTTGGGATTGAATTCCCTTCAAAATTATGTATCACAAGTATAGTAGGAGTAGTGCTGGGGATGAGGGTTTTGACAACACAATGATGATGTATTTGGTGAATGTGTTCCCCCTTGAAATAAAAATCAATTTTTTTTCACGAGTTCGCAGATTAGGGGGGGGGGGTGACAAGTTTTAGCTGGGACACACCGTATGAGTTTGATTAAAGCATAGCCTCATTGAATCAATTTCTTGACATAATTCTCAAACCATAGTCAATATGTACACCTACATTTATAGCTACACCACTTTGATATTAACATCTTTATCTACACCTACACACTCTCTAGTATATTTGAGACCAAATATCATGATGTTGGATTTGGTAGAGTTGATATTAAGACAATGATCGCTTGCAGCTCTTACAAATAAATCAAGTTCACTATTTATCAAGAGACAAGCATCTTCTGACAGCTTAGGAGGAATATAATAGTATATTTGCGTGTTGTCGGTATAGAGGATTGTATTGCAATTCTGTAAGCTGGTCATTAAATGGGATGTATTGATGCTGAATTGTGAAGGGTCTTATATAGATCCTTGAGGTACGTCAGATTTGAGATAGAGATATTTCCAGTTGTTACCATTCATATGTACTGTATAATGGAGTATACGTACAATATAATGGAGTATTGAAATCTGTAGTTCAGTTTATTGTAGCAAACGCTCTTGTGGAGTTGCCCTAATCTGTAGCCCGCATAATACGAGTATCATTCACAATTTCACTAGTTCGGACTTCCATTGTCTACTATATAAAATGATATGAAATCCCTGAAACAACTAAAAAAGAACAATTGAAAATGAATAGCTGAAAATAACAATTATATTAACCAAAATAAACCTGAAATGAAATAATAGTGAAATAAAATACAAGTAAAAATAGAACAATTGAATAAATAAAAATAAAAAAATGAAAAAAGAAAATAAAAATAAAAAGTGGAGAGATTCCAAGTCACGTTAGTTCAAGACGTTTCGATTGCTAGTATATACAATCGTCTTCGGGTGATGACAGTCATCACCCGGACAATGGAAGACAATGGAAGTCCGAACTAGTGAAATTCATCATGAAACATTGTCAATCACCTTCAAACAAACGTATCATTCACAACGTGAAGCAATGCAGTAATGCAACCCCTTTTCTAAAACCAGACTGTATGCCGCAGCAAATTATATTGAATCAGGTTTCATGAAAAAATATTCCCAGCAATGTGTTTCTGCAAGGAGTTATGATTTTTTCTAATGAAAATTGAATTAAGGGTAGAAGGGGATGTATTTTCGTGAGACAAAATCAGTGACCCCTCTGGGGTTAATAAGCATGCCAAATTCGATGGTTTCATGAAAAAAAATTCCCAGCAATGTGTTTCTGCAAGGAGTAGCTAGCCATGTGAATAATTGCGGTGAAACGACCTATGGCGTAATAGCGCGCTCGCCTCTCTTTCACCAAACACATGGATGAAAACACATGGCCACCTTAACACTGGTAAAGAATTTGAATACTAAATTGAAAGATAAAACGGATACTACAAAAAAGTCAAATGTGATTCATAACATTCCTTGTACAATTGTGACTTGGATTATATTGAAACAACATCTAGAATTCTTAATGATAGAATAACTTCACATAAAAGTGATATAAAGCTTAATAAGAAATCATGTGCATTAGCACAACATTCTATAGAAACAGGACATAAACCAAATTATTCTAATATCAAAGTTTTACGTACAGAAAAAAATATTTCCAAATACCTTTTTCTTGAAATGGTTGAAATTAATAAGTCTTCTGATTGTATGAATAAGAAAACTGACATTGATAATCTCAGTAGTATATACAGTAACTTACTGGAACTACATCAAAAACATAATAATAATGAAAATTGTGTCAATCAATCTTTAGAGTCAAAAATTATGAAAACATCATTCCCATTGAAAAGTGACATTTATATAAAGGTATGACA